CGACCACCTCAATCCAATAAGTTCTGTCTGCAGCTTTATACACGGCTCTTTAATCATACTGGACTTCGTTCTAGACGCCAAAGGCAATACATAAGTTGCCGAATATTGCTCGCGCCCTGAAGATGTCTGCGTGGACTACTTTTTTTAATTTAAAAATTGAAATTGAAATCTTTCAGCTGTAGCACCCATTCGGTGCCTAGCTGCCATGCTACACGAAGAAGGCACGAGGTCTGGGGTACTGCCAGGTTGCCCAAGCCTAGACAGGGGAAGTCGCGAGGCAGAGTTAGGGTTCGAACCACGGACCTTCCGGTCCATCTCGCCCCAACTACATCCGCAGTAGTACAGTCACCGCTGACCGACAGACTCAAGCTTTCGAACTAAACAGACATGCCAAAGAGATGCCGGAGATTATGGATTTCCCTTTCAAGGGGCGAATATCATGCTTTAACAACAAACCAATTCTACTTAAAGTAGGTTGTCATCATCATCATCATCATCAACGACAGCATGACATCAGTGTTCAAGACCAATGTTTCGCTGCCGTACAACCATGACTTATTTGAAAGCCTTATTGTAAAGAAAAGAATAAAGGTGGATGGGGGAGGGACTTAGTGCTAGCTTAACACAATCATTCCGAGGTGCCTACACCTCCAGACATTCACTCAGGCAATCTGGACGGAAACTGACAACAAGAACGCCACTGACATCGGTTGGCAGCCATATCTTGTAGTGTCTCCAACCAGGCACAGTGAGGATCACGCGGTCTCCATTCTGGAAGGCGAGTAGCACCGACAGCACCCAAGCGTTTCGTGATCTCCTTCATACTCCTCTGCCAGGTCATGGGTTGGCCACCTCTCTGTTTACGCCACTCCGAATTGGGCATGGAAAACAGTACTCTCTTCGGCAAACGATGGTTCGGCATGCGTAAAACATGTCCACACCAATAAAGTAGGTTGTACGGACACCTGATGCTAAAATGCACCAACAATGTCCCATCATAATAAACGTCACCTGGTCTGTTTACAGATTTGATTCTGATACCCAGGTTCACAGACCCTTATAAAGTGTACTCTATGCTAACGTCGGTATCAAAATCGAACAAAAATTCGGCGAACTCTACTTTTTCAGGAGAAACTTGGACTGCCCAAGAGTTAGGTTTTATTTACAAGACTTGGTCACAGTTCATGTTGTCCAATGATGTAGGCATGTATGTACGTCTGCATGCTGAGTACGGAGTTCAATGCCCCTCTAAAATCAAGGAAAACGACTGTTGGTCGCCGATGTTCAGGCATTTCACGTAACACAATGTAACACAATGTGCTCCTATCTGGACAAAATCCTGCACCTCTACCTCTCTCGACTTTGGCAACTTGGCAGTATCCCAGCACTTGTGTTTTTTTTCAGGTGGCATGGAAGCCAGGCACCGAAAGGGTGTTGAAGCTGAACAATTGTCTTTTTATCTTTTCTCGTGTCTCATGAGAATAGGTCAGGCTGCGCAGTATCATTGAAGCCAGCAGCCGAATTTTAATTGGTCGCCTCGAGTGATCTCATTGAATAAAGATCGGTCCCGGTTAGGCTGGATATGTTCCTTCTCTTAAATTACTTCATACAACTTATTCAGTACAGCACAATGTGACCATATTTTAACAAGCCTAGTGGGAGTTCATCAGAGCATGCGGCCTGCTCATGGTTCTAGGTATATCGATACCCCAGAAACTGAGTAAACCTCGGAAATCAAAAATTCGGATAAAGTCTAGCGCGTCCGACAAAAAAGGTGCAGAGACTGAGAGCGAACCGAACTGAGAATAATCAGCCGAGGTTTCAGAAGGCTGGTTCTCTTGCATATTAAACGCCTACTATTATCTTTGAAAACCTTGCAAACAACCGGTAAATTGGCGGTGTTCCACATCATTTTGTTACACAAGATTTCTATATTTCCGAAGACTTCTAGTCCAACTAGCCTTTCCTATCCGCGTCCAAATAACGACGACTGTGTACACCCGAGCACTCAAACCGAATCTTGTGGTCCGAATTCAAAGACAAGAAAATTTCTACTGATAAAGTGCGAACAGTGCGTGTTTAGCAGCTCGCTCAACATTTGTATATTAATGGTGGTGGAAAGTGGTGTGAAAGTAGATGTGAAACGGGAGATGCGAGAGGGACATACTATACACTTGTATGCGCGCGGCTGGGACCAACAGGAAGGTAATCATTAAATGGGATAGGAAAGGAGGTGGGTTATTGCAGAATGAAGCTGGGAGGTACCAAACCTTGCAAACAACCGGTAAATTGGCGGTGTTCCACATCATTTTGTTACACAAGATTTCTATATTTCCGAAGACTTCTAGTCCAACTAGCCTTTCCTATCCGCGTCCAAATAACGACGACTGTGTACACCCGAGCACTCAAACCGAATCTTGTGGTCCGAATTCAAAGACAAGAAAATTTCTACTGATAAAGTGCGAACAGTGCGTGTTTAGCAGCTCGCTCAACATTTGTATATTAATGGTGGTGGAAAGTGGTGTGAAAGTAGATGTGAAACGGGAGATGCGAGAGGGACATACTATACACTTGTATGCGCGCGGCTGGGACCAACAGGAAGGTAATCATTAAATGGGATAGGAAAGGAGGTGGGTTATTGTGGAATGAAGCTGGGAGGTACCAAGAGTAGCCAGTTTTCGCCCAGCCAACCTGCCATGAGGAACAAATGAGATGATCCAGATGAGAGTGAAAATTATCTGTAGCTGTACCGTTTGTAATTATCTGTGGGCTGTGATGCTGCAGAGTTGTCCAGGCGTGGGCACGAAGGCATGGATCCTAACCGTTGTTGGTAGTTCAAAAGCTTGATCTAAAGGCGATGGTTGTTTGATAAGATAACAGAGAAAAAGCGGATGGATAATGAAAAGGTCCTGATGTGGCGATTTAGAGCTGACGTGCAGCCCAAATCGGACAGGAGGGTTTAGATACCGCCAGGTTGCCCAGGCATAGAAAAAAGCAGTCAGAAGGCTACCAGTTGGTTCAAACCACGGACAAATAAGTTCGCGCCTCAACTGCTTGTGTAGCTCTAGCCCAAAACAGTTCAGGTTTCGGAGAAGTTGCTACATAAGTTGTCCTCGTTTCTATACATTGATCGACCGAGACTACGAGCCACACGGACAATCCGAAGTATGATTCAATGGGACATCGAGGAGTGCAAGCAACTGAACCAATGTAAAGACACCTCTTTTAACGTACGTAGCCTTTCAAAAATGGACGAGCTTGGCACTTCAAGAGTTGAAACTGATGATCCCCTCCGACAGTTGGTGTACAAAAACGATCGACAACACCCCAAAACCAGAAGGGTTCAACGGTGCACCACTATATAGAAGCGACAGACATAACAGACCTTGAAGAAGTATATTGGCCATTTGGTAAAGGACCATATTGATTTTGCATCTACGTGCGGCGATTACGTGCGGTGACCGATCATCAAACGTTCCGTACGGAAGGATGAGCATCCCTCTAGAGTTCCTTTGGATTTTAGAAGCACGGGTCAGGAAGCGTTAAGCTATACTGGTACTACAACCAATCTTGATCGAGGATGTTTTATATGAGGAAGATTTTGGCGTTTCCTTTGAAACATGCACCTGAACTCGTCCTTAAATAGTACACGTAGATGAGAGTTTCCTCTCAAGCCCTGTACTGTCAAGTGACTGCTAGTGAGGACTTTGAGAATGCTTTGCTCCTGGAGAAGTGCGAACAGACTTTTGCTTTGGCTGACCATGGGTTTCTACTCTCGCTGCGCACCGAGTTGACGTAAATGCGGTCTTAATTTTTCAGTTATCCCACTTTTAATGGACTAAGGATATAGGTGGACTGTGTACCATCTGCGCACAAATAGTCCCCTTATGTTGCAGCAGCACGGTGCAGCCTGTTTCGGGGCTTCACAACTTTTCCACCTCTATTATTTGTTAACTTCAGTTGCCTTATGCAATGCTAATCACCAAGTAACCCCAGTTACCGACAGGCCAGATCACTAGCGAGGCTGGTTTGTTAAACGAGCCTCTGGGTGTAAAGATTGGATGATTTTTCAGTATCGATACGTCTACATTCCCTAAACGGAACAGAACTTAAGAGCTAATTCTATTCCCCCCTCCCACACACAAACAAGTAAGAACTTAGACGCAGGTTCTTGATGGTATCTAACCGGTGAACCCTGTTGTAAAAAACGAAAACCTGACATCAAACGAATGGAAAATGGTATAAATCAAAAACCACGGGACGCATCATGACTTACCGCTATCTTCAACCCAATCAGGCTCCAGTCACCTTGCGTTTGCCCGCTATTGTTGGCCATTCTCCGATTTTCTTCGCGATTTCGTTCTCGCATTGACGACACACCTCGGAACCACAAGGGAGCTATGCGTTTGCAGCGCCCAATAAGAGCGCGAACAAAAAGCGCCTCACTGGGTTTTACTGCAGGCAGCTCGGAGTGCTTCAACTTTGATACTTCCGGGTAATCTAGGATTTCAGTGTATGTCTCTTTACAGGAGCCAAACGCCTGTGCATAAGAACTGGCATTGACTCCTACCCCAAGCGTTGAAACAGAATGCGAGGCTGAAGAACTGCATAAAAGTTGGTGTACTGTGTCGACCGCTGTGTCACTCGTTGGCTGGCTGAGAGATTCACCGGGATAAAAGTCCATTTTGCTCGTCCTAGTCAAGTTCCCCACGCCTAGATCAGCGCACTCGGATGGAGTATCCGTCATACGCTCGTCATTGTGGTCAGTTTTTGAAGAGGATGAACCGAAGTGTGCTATGGTTTCAGTAAGACACAAACCGAACCCAGAACCGGGATAAGATACCACGTGAAAGCAATCTAACGAAGGATGATAGGCTTCATTGAGATGGGAAATTAAAGGTTCCACCTTGATCTCTACACCATTACCTTCCATAAGTTACGAAAACACGGAAATGAAGTCATAAAGGTGCGTAAAATTAAGAACAACGCAAAGACCGCCGTCAAGTGTCGCACAATTTTGAGAGGCCGCCGAAGATCCCAAACGTCCAAAGAGGTTCGAACGCCCAATGAAAAGACAGGACATGGCAAGAACGAGATTCTTTTGAATCTAGTAAATCGACATCTTCTCGGTGAACCATATGAGGCGCCGGGAATGTGTTATCACCCTTATCACGTGTCATTGCACAAGCTGCGCCACAGAGTTGTTCCGTTTCAAAATACTGGCCTTGCGGCTGCTTCATTCTTGCAGGTGTGGCGTTTCGTACCTTTATTTTACTTCGCCGGAAATGATCACCCTTATCACGTGTCATTGCACAAGCTGCGCCACAGAGTTGTTCCGTTTCAAAATACTGGCCTTGCGGCTGCTTCATTCATGCAGGTGTGGCGTTTCGTACCTTTATTTTACTTCCATTATGTCACCACGTATTTCATCAGTGGCATAATCGTTTTTGTTTGAATACGAAAAACTACAAAAACGCGCACTTGTGCAATTTCGCAGAATACAAGCGTGGTCACGGCCGGCGGCTAGACGCACAATGTATTTTTCTGCAAAACGCCTGCGGACGAAATAAAAACTTTAACGTCAAAATGTTGCACTTCTTTGCATATATGCGTAGACTGAAAACCCCCCTCATCTGCCGTTATTTTTT